ATATTCTCTCAAACTCATATCAATTATCTATATATACACACACATATCATTTCTTCATCACCAACATCACCACTCGAACCATCAACTTCACCGCCACCAAACTTCATTACTGCCACCATGGGCATTACCTTCACCATCACCACCACCTTTCAACACCAAACCCACTTCTTTCACAACCAAGTTCCATTACCATTACCATTACCATTAAGCTCCACGACCACCATCACCGTGAGCTTTGCTACCATCGCTGAACCATGACCACCACTATCACCAGCTTTGTTACCACTTAGAACCATGCTCCACATCATGTTATAAGTGATGAACAAGTAGAATGAGTAAGATGAAGGAAAGAGAAACAAAAGGTAGATGTTTCAGAATTTTTGAAGTTAGTTTTTTAACAACTTTTGACATATCGAAACTGTCCATTACACGAAGAAGTGAGAAAGTGAGGTAGTGTAGGATGAAGTAGGAAGTGAGGTGAAGAAAATGGTGAAAGAATGAAGTAGAACTGTTAAGTATCGAGAAAGATATGAAGTTCGAAAGATGGCTCGAAGAAAAGTTTTTTTATTTTTATTTTTATAATGAACTTTCGGAGCTCCAACAGCATGCAAAAAGAGGAAGAATGAGACGTGTGAGAGGTGATACAAAAACTAGGCCGTGGGGTGAATCCAACGATGTAAAAAAGAGGCGAAATGGAGTTATAACGAATGAGATAGAAGGGTTTGAAGTGGTGGTGAGAAAAGAAGGTAAATTTGGGCAAGAGATGGTGAGTTTGCATCTTTTTGTTTTGAAATTTGAGGTCAAAATATAATTTTTTTAACGTTTTCCATTTCAAATGTGACGGTAGGGGTATAGATTTCAAAATTTTTAAGGGTAAAATTGAAATTATTTGAAGTTTGGGAGTGTAATTGAAAATCGAGACAAAATATAAGGGTAAATATAAAATTTTCTCGATTTAAAAACTGCAAAATTTCTCAATTTCTCATTCTTAATTTCTATATTTGAGAAGCTGAGAAATTTCACAGCTTTTTTTAAAGAAACCGTAAAAACAAATTAGGGTAAATTATGCAAAATGGTCCCTTAGTTACACAATGTGTCAATTTTGTCCCTGTTGTTTCAATTTGCTCGATTTTGTCCCTTAATTTAACAGATTGTGTCATTTTAGCCCAATAAATAACGGTTAATAAGTTTGGTTGATGGAAAGTCTACACAATGTATCAATTTGGTCATTGTAGTTTATACAATTTGTCAATCTGGTCTCTATTATTTTAATTTGCTCAATTTTAACAGGGACCAAATTGACACATTGTGTAAACTACAGAGACCAAATTGACACATAGTTTGACTTTCTGTCCACCAAACTTAACAATCGTTATTTATTGGACTAAAATGACACAATTCGTTAAATTAAAAGGCAAAATCAAGCAAATTGAAACAACATGAACTAAATTGACACATTGTGTAAACTACATGAACTATTTGTATAATTTACCCAAAAAATAATGTAACCCAAAAAATTCCAAAGTAACAATGAAATTTCTCGCTCTCATTTTTATTTTACAATTTTATATTGACTATATATCTTGTTAGAAAAATCTTTTTAATAGGCTCCTAATGTTGTGTTTGGTTAGGGGATTTATGAAGGGATTTGGAAAAGAAAGGGAAATGGTAGGTGAAATATAGGCCCTATTGGACAAATTGGATTTTAGCATTTTTTATCTGAAATTAGGGATGCAACTTGGGCGGGCTTAACCCGAGCAACCCGAACCCAGCTTGAATTTTTTTAGGGCATGAACAAGATATTTTCAAATTTGGTACGGGCTTGGAAAAAAATTCAGAAGTTCGAATTAAATTTTGGTGAGCTTGGACAAAGACGTCAAACAATCCGAACAACCCAAAACCTGAATTATACATATATAGAAATATAAAAATATTAAATATACATATAAATTATTAGTCATTACATGATATTAAAGTAATTTAGATTATTAAATCATATTAAATATATATTATATATACAAATAATATAAAATCTTACTTTTTTTATTTTCACTTAAAGTTGTAAAGACTATTATAGTAGCATCTCTCTTACATTATATAAATTATTTATTTTGATGGTATTAATGATTTTCTATAAATAAAAAAAAATGTAAATAGAGTCAAATTTTAATAATTTAATAATATAGTTGGAAAAAAAAAACTTCATTTACAATTCGGGTAACTCGGATAATTCGGGTTTAACTCAAGTCGGGCTTTGATAGGTAACCTCAGGTTACAATTCTGACTTGGACAGGTCTCAGCAGAACTTGGATTGGGTTGGATAACTTATAACCCGACCGAACCCCGCCCGAGTAGCAACCCTAGCTGAAATCCACAAAAAGACAAAATAGACTAAAATAGCTAATCAGACAAAATGTCACATTAAATTCATAATCATTTTATTTTTTTCCTCACAAATATCACATCCAACTACAAAAAAAACTATCTTTCTAAATACAAAATTTTAGCCTACTAAAATAGTAACTTCCCAAACACTCAACTAGATTCACACCCCTTTTCTCTTTTCTTTTCTAAATCTTTTCTCAAATCTCAAATCTCCAACCAAACATAGCGTAGGAATATAAATTTTAGGAAAAGACAGATTTATAAAATAAAAGTTATGAAATTTTAAAATTTTGAATAAAAAAGCATTATGCGTTTTGCACGTTTTAATAACATAAGGCTATTATAGTCAAGAAGGTGATGTGTTTGCCCTAATATGTTAACAAAAATTTCGAAAAATTCTATTTTCACACACCTAATTAGCTCAGGGTACACACTTAATGAAATATTAATTTAATGACAATTATATCCTAAATAAAAATGATCATAATAGACATCTAACAACACCGATAACATTATATGAAAAAATTCTCTATACACATTTTTTAAGAATAAAAAAAAATCTCAATGTACACCTTTTGAGTTAAAAAAAAAATTAAACTTAGTTTTTCCATTGTTGTCACTTTGCTTATTACATACTCTACACTCCTTTATTGCTTACAAAGTAATACTCTCAAAACATCTCTTATATTGCTTTAATTGCCCCTTTCCATGTTTCTCTCACGTAAGATCAAATTTGGATTAGAAAAACATGCTTATTACAATATGAAAGCTTTTTTTTTTTTTTTGAAAAAATAGTATCAAATTGATTCACTTGTCCTATAAAATTAAACAGAGTCTCTCACTATCAAATTGGTCTATCAAATTTTAATGCCTCCTCAAATGCTTTCATTTTAATGTCTCTCAACTACAACCCTCGAATGCTTTCACTTTTCAATGCCTCCTCAAATGTTCCAAATAGTGCTGATTCTCCATAGTACCAATGCTAATGGGAAAAAAAATGAAGATCAATATTGACATTGAGATTAAATTGGGTTATAACCAATTACAAGTAAAAATTTAAAATTTCTGTATATTGTTTCGTACCTCTATGTAAACCAATTTGATAGACCATGTTGTATTAGACCTCTCAAGAACCTTCTCGGCCAAGCAATACAGTTCCACACAGTGAATATGTAGTTTTTCACTATGTAAACATAAAAATCCTAAAACTAAAAGACCAAACAAAAGCGTCAGAACAAAAACAAAAAAAGTGTGGAAAGGAGGGTTAAATGGTGGCGTCAAGATCCTCTAGAGTGAAAAGCCTACAGTCATCTCCTAGAATGATCAATCTAACGGCTGACATTAAACCTCACCAAAACGACGTTGTTTTGGTGAGTAATTTGAAGAAGAAAAAAAAAAAAAATCATTCCATGGCTCTCCTCTCCTTTTTTCACTCTACCTTTTCTCTTCTATTTTCTTGCTCAAGAAAACCATTCAAAATCAAGAAATCTCACAAACCCATCTCTGAAAATCAATCCATGGCTCAAGAAATCGAAAAACCCAAAAAGGTTCAATACCCACACGACTCAACCTGTTATAAAATCACCGACAAGATCGGCCAAGGAATGAGTGCGATTGTCTACAAAGCCATATGTATTCCGATGAACTCGACTGTCGTAGTGATCAAATCAATTGATCTTGAACCAATCTCGAAAGTGTTCGTCGAGGAGCCAAGACAATGTCGCTTTTCTCTCATCCTAACATTCTCAGAGCTCATTGTTCATTCATGGTGGATCATCGTCTTTGGGTAGTCATGAATTTTTCGTTCTCTTCAGTCGATCATGACTTTTTCGTTCCCAGATGGTTTATCTGAGAGCCTTGCATTGCTGTGATTCTCAGAGAAACTTTGAATGCTCTATCTTATCTTTTGTCCCAGATGAATTATTATTATTATTATTATTTTTTTCAAATCAATCCATGGTTTTTCGATTTCTTGAGCCATAGATTGATTTTCAGAGATGTATTTGTGAGATTTCTTGATTTTGAATGGTTTTTTTGAGCAAGAAAATGGAAGAGAAAATGAGAGAAGGGCCATGGATTGATTTTTTTTTTTTTTTTCAAAGTATTCGCCAAAACGACGTCGTTTTGGTGAGGTTTAATGTCAACCGTTGGATTTATTACTCTAGGAGATGACTGTAGGCTTTTCACTCTAGAGTATCCTTTCACTGAATGGTGTGTGTACAACGATTATGAGTGAAGGGTATAATTATAATTTTTAATATGTGAATTGAGAAAATTAATTAATAATCAAATTAATAAGCGTGCGTACTAAAAAAAAATATGTATTAAGATAATTAAGTGTGTGAAAATAGAATTTTTCAAAAATTTCCTAGGACTTAATCTAGTAAAACTGTAGATTATGGTGAAAATTTCATTTTTAGCCTAATATTTTGATTCGATGATCGATTACATTCTTAAATTTTAAATAAATTTAATTTTTCTCTTAAAATTTTTGAAATCGTGTCAATTTCACCTCACGGTAGATTTAAACAGAAAAAATTTTAAAAAATTATATTTTAACCCCAATTTTAAAAAAGAAAGATGCAAACTTATCCTTAAATACCCGAACTCACCGGCTCTCTTTTGTGCCCCTCCTTTCTAGCCTTTGCTAGTGGCTAGCCTTCCTCCTCCCTTCGGCCTCCGTCGATCGGTAAAATCTCCTCAACAATGCGGCGATGGTGCACCAAACTTCGATTACTGGCCCTCCATTACTCCATTACTCTACCCAGAAACCAACCCAGCTCTCTGTCATCATCATTATGATCATCATCATCATCATCTTCTCATCGTTTCCTTCACTCTTCTCCTCAGCTTCTTCACAACCCCCTTTATTATCCTTGATTTTTTTTTCAAATTTTAAGTCCCTTTTCAGTGCCTTTTTAGCGTCACATCATCCTTTTTGCTCAATCAGTTCTCTCGCCTCTGCTTCCCCACATCTCTGTAAGTTCAAGGGTTTGTTTTGTTTTCTGTTTGTTCTCTCTCTCTCTCTCTCCCCCCCCCCCCCCCCTTCCTTCTCCGATCCTCATAGCAGCAGTGGAGATCGGAGTAGTGGAGTTTGCTACCAGAACTCTTCAAGTGGCGCTTTGCCTGTTTGGTTTCTGGGAAAATGATGCAATAGGTGTTTTCTGATTGTTGTGGGTATGTTATAGCTTTACTCTTTTATGCTGTGTCTGTTTGATTGTTGAGAGAATGTAGCAAAGAAAATGCAATCCAATTTTGACAATTGAAGCATTTCGTTTAGTTCTATGTTAATTGGTTTTCTTGGTAGCCAAACAGTGTGTGGAGTTACGTTTTCATGTCATGAGTGCATACTGATTCTGGAAACATTTTAATTTTTAATTTTTTTTTTCTTGGTTACCCCCTTTGGTTGCTGAGAACATATGGGATACTGGGATAACAATATCCAATCCAATTTTTTGTGATTTAATTGTTTTTTTTAATTTTTTTGTTCATCGATTTCTTGGCAGCCATTTAGTGTCCGAAGTAGGGGTTTAAATTTTTATATGATGGGTGCTTACTGATTCCGGGCATGTTGCTTTCTTTTCCCGTTTGGTTACTGAAGAAATGTAATCCAAAATGAAACGTTGTTCGTAGGTTTATCACTTTCAGAAGTGATTGAGACCCTCAATCACCAACTCCCATCAATCCCCCCCACATGTTGAGATTGGTGATTGGAAGAGAAGAAAAAAATAAAAATAAAAATAAAATCTAGCCAATCACAAGTTAAAGGAGGTCATGGGGATCAATCCCCCACACATGTTGAGATTGGTGATTGGAAGAGAAGAAAAAAATAAAAATAAAAATAAAATCTAGCCAATCACAAGTTAAAGGAGGTCATGGGGGTCACCTTTGAGGGGGTCCGAATCCATAATATATGTGTCCATGCACATATTATAAAGCAATAAGTGATTGAGACCCTCTCAATCACCAATTCTCACCAATCTCGCACACACATTGAGATTGGTGATTGGAGGAGAAGAAAAAAATAAAAATAAAAATAAAATCTGGCCAATCACAGGCCAGAGAGGGTGATGGGAGTCACCCCTGGAGGGGGTCCGAACCATTTTTCTTATTGCTTTATAATATTTGCATGGATACATATATTAATGGATACCCATGCATATATTGTTAGTCTAAAGGAATTTATTTTTGCAGTGGCAGTGGGAGGATGAGGGCTAGCTGCTGGCGGTGGTAGCCGGCGAAGAGGTGAAAGAAAAGAGGGTGGGTTTGTGTATAAAATTGTGGATTTGTATCTTTCTTTTGAAATTTAAATTTTAGGTTAAAATGTAATTTTTTTTTGACTTTTTCCATTTAAATTTGACGGTACAGGCAAATTGATATGATTTTAAAAAATTTGAAAGTAAAATTAAAATTATTCAAAGTTTGGAGATATTATAATTGATCATCGAGACAAAAATAAAATTTTCTTGTAGATTATGGTACCTTTTTTAGTGCTGTAACCAAGAGGGAAAAAGAAAAAAAAAAAAGTCTCGAAGCTAATCCATTGTCTGACAATCCTTGCTCTCATAGCATTTCCGGTCTAACATGCCAAACCCATTGCTTCAACTTTAGCTAATAAGAAAACAAATCTAAAGCTTTGGATGTCTTTGCACATTTGGATTGTCTAAAAATCAATGTGTATCGTGCAATACTGCAATACATTTTAATACATTAAATATGATTTTTTGAAAACTTTCTTTTTGATATTGTTAGAATTTAGGCGCCCATGTGATATGACCCTCATAACTTTTTGAACTTGAACCTTTTAATTCAAAACCCATTTGGATAGCCACTCACGATATATATCTATCATATCATGATATTGATAGATGATATAAATATCAGATATTATCTCATATAACAAATATGGATAAATGAGATAAATAGATTATATATCTGATATATGGGATATGGGTGATTAAGTGGAAAAATAACGTATGTTTGAGTTTTTCTCATATACTGACTCTCTCCCAAAAATAACGATCAAAGCCATTTGCACTGTGATTTATGTGGGTGATATTCACTATTATAATATCACCCCATTGTTGGGTTGATTGACCAGATTCAGGAAGCTTGTGATTTACCCACGAGATCCTTCAATTCAGACTCTGTTTGAAAGGTATGACCATAATTTTTGTTCCGATGCGTTATACTTTGTTTACATTGGTATCAGAGCGATGATGGATATTTTCGTGTTTCCTTTAATCATGTGTATATTTTTATATGTATATGTATACATTATATACATGAATGTTTGTAAAGGAGAAAAAAAATCTACTTTTATTAGATTAAGAGCATAAATATTTTTTTTATGTTCATTAATATCTTTTTTAATACCATAAATGGTTTTATTTTTGAAAAAAAGGAGTCCGGCAGTACAAAAAACGGACCAGAAAACACCCGATTTTCATTTAAAAAGTTCAAACTTAAACTTCTTGTTGTTCTTCTTCTTCTTCTTCCTCCGCGATCTCGCCGCAAAGCTCCGAGGTGCCGAAATGGCAGATTTTGGCGTTTAACGATGGTTCTGTGACGATAATGCTTGAACTCTTGATATGATTGTGTACGAAACTCGAACTCAATCCTGTTGAATGGTGAATATAATCGAGACCGTGAGCCAGATCGGTCGCTATCAGCACTCGAGACATCCAATTCGAAAGTACAGTAAAATTAGGGTTTTTAGGGTTTCGAAGACAATTCGCAAGGTTAGCACCATGAACATAGTCATAAACAAGGTAAATATAATTTCCAGAGACAGAAGCGCCAGACTACTGTTACGGTTTACTGTTTACTGGTATAATTGTAGCATTTTAACAGATTCTGGAATATTTATTTCTAATTTTATGTGTGTTTATTAGTTATTTAAAATTCCAGAAAAATTTAGAAAAATTTCAGAAAATTTCAGGATGATGTACTTTCTGTTATGGCATAATTTGAATATTTAATACAACATATTATTTTTTTTAGAGTTTCTAATATGTTGTAATTAGAAAAGCATGATTATTTATTTATTTATTTATTTGAATTCCATTATTAAATGAATATAGCATGAGTTATTTGTAAATTTACATTAAGATGCTATTGTATGGAATTTATCATGCTTTGTATATGCCATATCAGGTGGGAGATTGATTGTAGCCTTAGCTATTGAGTGAAGGTTATTTGGTTGAGAGAAATCTTTGTAGATTTACTCCCGAAAACCAATATTTTGCGCATAAATTAAATTAAATTTTGGATAATTGTCACATGTGGCGCAAGAGATGATTACGAGCATAGCGGATTTTCGATCTTGCGGCTTATGTAATATTGTCACTATTTAATTTAGATTTTTGTGGCAAAATTATATTATGCTAATCAAATTAATCCCAATGTGAATTTCTCTCTAAATTGACTTAGCTTATGGAAGTCAATTGGTTGACCTAAACTTAGTAAAGATGTTCAAATGTGAACAATGTAATCCCATTCTTTAGATGAGCAAAAGTCTTGGAGACTTTAGGTCAAGTCTTAATTGAGCCAAAGTAAGGAAACATGATTCAAAGTCGCCGTGGTTTTGTTGCCTTGTTTGGCATAATAAAAACTAATGTGTGCGCTATGGTTAGCGGCACGCTACGTAGTTTTGGTTGGCGAGTTTTGGAGTTATAAAATTAGTAAGCCCTCAATAGATCAGTATATGATCTTGACTAATGAGCTGAGCGGATTGACTTTGTAATTTGATTTGTAAATAATGTTACATCATTGGATGAAGTAACATTCAAGAGTCACGTCATCCTAGAAATGCGAGCTTAAATAAATTAGTCATTAAGTGTAAGACGAGTAGCCAGTATGAACAGTGTTTAATTCCCAATTGACCTATTGGGAGTGGATGGAGCAAAATTTTCATGCACTATAAGA